TAATTGTTAAGCACGTGCGGCCTGTGGTGCGCGCTACGTGCGCGACCACGCTCCTCGGCCAAATCACCAATAAATCATGCAAATTCTTCGAGCAAATTAACTTATCTAAACATGAATTAATATAAATAATTGAATACACGAAGATTGCTAGAGAGAATTGAATTAAAATGAACATGCTCAACACGGCTACACGCACGGCCGAAAGAAATAAATGAATAAATCATGAAAATGAACCTAAAATGATCTTAATATCATGAAAGTATGTTGAGGACAATATTACCTCCTCAAGTGTTCGGCTAAACCCCGAAAACGGGCGTAATTTCCCGGCTCCGTGCGTGCGCTAGGCCTCCGTGTGTACGCCGTGCGGTATTCTCACGTGAGCTTGCCAAACCAAGGGAAATTTCTAATTCTCTCTATACTTATTAACTATGCTTATAGTGAGGTGTATGTGCTGAAAATGGGAAAAAAACTGATCCCATGTCTCCCTTAAATATAATGGCCGAAACATATTACATGAAGAGGTGGGGAGACTTTTTGTTAGCCAGTGGCAACTTACCACTTGCTAATACTTGAAGCTTAGTCATCCCTAAGTGGGATTAGTCATCAAATAATTGCATAAGAACAAGACACCTCATACTTAGTGATTTGAAGACAATTTCTCCCCAAAAAGCCTCTAAAATTGCTCACGGCATTTCTAAAATTTTGGGGCAAATTGAAGGAAATTTTACATGACTTTTAAATACAAAAAAATTGCTCACGACACTTAATGAACTAAACATGATTAATAATTAATTAAATATAATCTATATACTTAATTAATTACTAAACATGATACTTAATATCCGAAATTATTCCGAACGTAAACGGGACGTCGAAAATAATTTCGGTTAACCTCGACTGAAATAATTAATTCGAATTGTAAAAATTTCGAATCCTTGACTTGGACGATTAATCCGAATATTGATATTTCGAATAATTCGTCAACTTAACTTATTAATTCTGAACTCATTAATTAATGAACGAATCGGAATTAAATCTGGAAACTTATTCGGTTACTGAAATAATTAAACTGAATAATTTATCGACTAATAGTCGGATTTGGAATTTAACTAGCTGAATAACATGAACTTGAACATGATTATTTATTAACAAAGGCTAGCTTAAAACTAAAAGCTAGTATTTTCCTTATTAATAAAACTCGGGGTGTTACAATCCACCCTCCTTAAAATATTTCCGTCCTCGGAAATACTAAAACTGGACGTACAAGCTTAACATAAAGCTTATACTTACTGATTACATGACTTGAGAGTTCAGTACTTTAATACTGAATAATGGACTTGATCTGAACTGAAGATACATCAATTCACAATTAAGTGAATTGTGGGATACTGCTGACTGAGAATGGACACTATTCTGAAATAAAGTGTTCCACTGATTATACAAGATTTTAAAACACAATTCTTGAGCGTGCTGATCATCATCTCCTGGCTGATTGTTGATATTTAGTCTAAACGTTGGGTGGAATAAACTCCAGTTGTTGGTACACACGGGAAAATTCCAGAGATACGCACATGTACAACTGAGGATAACTAGCAATATCAATGATTCCTTTCGTGAATATCTACTCGATAACGTGACACATCGTTCGTGGCACATTGTAACGCAGCACACCTGCTCCTCATCAAGTGAGTGCGGCACGCCTGCATACAGCACCTTGTGAACATTGCACCTGCGTTGTCGACGTAGTCTGTGTAACTGATCATATCTGTACCTCAAGCTAGTAACCTCAATGTACTATAATGCTAACTCTCTGTAATCTTCCAGTGTATTATGTCTTCTTACGACATGCATCCTTGAACAGAAAGCCTCAGTTTGCCTTCACGGCGTTGTCTATTGTTGTTGATTAGCCCTTCTCCGTTGTACCTGCAAATCTTTACCTTCCCTGAGGTTTCACATAACCTCAAGAAAAGTCTATCATGAGCTAATATTTCTTTCGATTTCTCAAATTTCCAAAATTTGAGAATCGAGGCACTGTTTATACTTGAATTGATTGATAAGTCTTATCTTATTAGACAGACTATCCTTGATCTTGACATGACTGGCCTGAATATTCACATAACTGAATAATCATGACTTGACTTTTACATGACTGAGTCATCTTTACCTGAACTCTGAAAGCTATCCCGAGACAACTTAATGGTCATCTGGGAAATTGGAAAATGGCATTTACTGATTTAATTGACTTGATAAGGTGCGACTTCAAGTTTCCAGGTAGAATTGGATTAATAGTATGTATTGCAGACCTCCATATTTAACCCGGCTGAACAACTATTATACGTTAACCTTAAATCATGAATATTAACTTTAAATCTTGAACATTGACTCATGACTATGTACTGTATAGGGCTGTTCCATTATCAACTGGTCCCGCAAGTACAAAAGGAATAACTGATCTTGAACTTTGAAAATCTTAACTTGAAGTATCCTGGCTGATAAAATACATGACATAACTGACATTAAAGGTTGTGATTACATGAAATCATATTGCTCCGGTCCCAGCTTCAAGCCTCCATGGTATACCCGGCTGAGTGGCTCTTACTTCAAGCCTCCATGGTAACCCGGACTATTGACTCTTATACACTAGAAACCGTTACCTTAACAATGACTTGAGAATTATAACAACCTTTAACATGAAAATCTCGCCCTGAACTTGATTTACTGATCTGACTTAAGAAATTTGAGTCTATTCCTCGAATTGAATCAAGGAATTCCTCCATGGAATCTGCCAATTGGTTGGAAAAACGGCAATTTTCGATAGAAAATATCTGAGGAACATGATTGCTAAGATTTGTATAACATAAATGCTTACAAATCTCTTGACGGGTCATTAACATGACTTGAATAAATCTAGAATTGAATCTAGAGTTCTCAAACTTAGCTCCTTTCTAAGGTTCTGAATTCTGATTCGAACATCCTTACTGATGATTTTATTGAAGCTGATCAATAAAGCACACAAATCTCTTGACGAGTTGCCAAACATGACTGGGGAATACTGACTCTAAATTCTGGGTATACTGACTACTAATCCTGAACATGATTCGAGCATCTTAACTAAATCATACCTGAGAAATTTCTGAGCATAGACATAGTAATTCGTAACTCAGAACATAAATCAGTACTTACCTGTAGTCGGCGAGACGTGAGCGTGACGGTTCAGGTTTTTGCAAAATTTCTGACTTCTAAAACTTTTCAGAGACGCAGAAACGTGCTCTGATACCATTTGTAACACCCCGCTATTTACTGAAATTCAGAGTGCGCTTTTTCGCAAATTTTCTAAATAAAGTGAATAAAATATTTCTTTTGCGAAATCTGATTCGGGGTGCTACCGTAAAATCTGACTTATTCTGAAAACCGTTAATTTTAAACTGATACTAAAAATGGTTATCTAATATATTAACCGACTAGGTCGGATCAAAAGCTGATTTGTAAAAACTGAACAGTAGCGGAAACATCAGTGTAGCCAAAACATAATATATACATATAAACAAATGTCCTGAACCGCTCGCCAGCTCACCCCTCGTCTCCGACTCTGTGACCTGAAAAACATGAATAACTTGGGGGCGTGAGCACTAAAACACAGTGCTCCGCAGGAACTCATACTAAAGTAAACAGTGAATATAATAACAATATCATGATCCTGGTATATATAACTGAACTGAAACTGAAACTGATATCTGATACCGGTACTGAATAATCTGATACTGATCTCATGATATAAATCACCTGACTGATAACTGAACATCTGCCAGCCTAAGCCGGACACCATGTGCACACTCTAGTGGGCAGATTAAGGCCACTAGAACCCAGAATGGACCGACGACGAGCGGATACTGATAATA